GCTGATCTGTGTTTGCCGCCTGAGAGAGCAGGTCCGATCTCGCGGCCGACTTGAGCCAGCCTCGGCCCCTCTCGGCCCCTCTCGGCCCCTCTCGGCTCCTCTCGGCTCCTCTCTCGCCTTGGAGAGCAGGTCCACTCCCGCGACCCACTTGAGCAGCTTGCGCAGCGTCTCTCCTGCCGACCAGCGGGCCGCGGGCGGACCGTCGTGAGTGCGCGCGTGTGCGTGTGCGTGTGCGTGTGCGTGTGCGTGTGCGTGTGCGTGTGCGTGTGCGTGTGCGTGTGCGTGTGCGTGTGCGTGTGCGTGTGCGTGTGCGTGTGCGTGTGCGTGTGCGTGTGTCTGCTGGTGTGTGTGTGCTGCGAGGGAGGCGTCTGCCGCAGTTGCGTCTAGAGGCGCCTCGGCGCTGCAGGGCGAGGCGGAGGCGCTTGATGAAGAAAGTGGAGAAGATGTAGGTCCGCTCGGCGAGCCCGAGCTGGCGCAGCTGCTTCTCGAGCTTGAAGCGCAGGTACCATTCGACCAGGGTGTCGTTGAGAAGCAGCTGCTCCGGGCCGACCGTGCCGTCTGGCGTGCCGAGCCGGCGGTAGTCACCCCAGGTGAGGCAGATGGGCTCGCGACCTCCGTCGCCGATCCGGACCATCGGCTCGTGGTTGGCGTTCTGTCCGGTCAAGGCGGACGCGCGTTAGGGGCGGCTGTACGCACGCCACACAGAGCGAGGCGCATGTGCGCGAACCTGCTTGCGCCGCGAGCGACGGCGCGAGTCGGCCGCCGGCTCGTCGTCGGATGAGAGCTCGACCACCACCGGCGCGGAGGCCTCAGCCGCCTTGCGCTTGCGTGGCGGCATGCCGACGAGCTTGTCGCGGCCCTGGCGAAGCCGGCAGCGAGTGAGTCCGCCCCTTGGGGGTGGCGCGGAAGAAACACTCGAAGGCGTGAACCTTTGCCCGTTCTCAGGGTGGCACATTCCCGTTCACATAAACGCACAACCCCAGGCCCCGAAAATCACACGTGGCGCATTCCCGTTCACACAAAAACACAACCCCGGGACCCAAGACGCACACACCCTCACTTAGGCATGAACGCCCGAAACTTGAACGGCGGGCGCTTGACGAACCCAAGGGGGAACGAGGCGGGAGGGGGGCGGAGGGCGGCGGCGAGTGGGGGTAGGGGCGGGGGCGGAAGGTCGAAGGAGGGTGGTGGGGGCAAGGGTGCCGTGGCCGCGAGGCCGGGCCCCGGCGGCGAGGGAGGGGGCAGAGACGGTGGCGACGGCGAGGGCGGCGGCGGCGAGGGCGAGGGGTGGTGAGAGTGGCAGCAGGCCGAGGGGGGCGGGGGTGAGTGCGGTGCGGCGGGGCGGGAGGCGGCGGCGCAAGGGCCGGGGCAAGGGCGGCGGCAAGGGCCGGGGGTAGTGTAAGAGATCTTGCGACGCCGGTGAGGGTGGCGGGGCGGCTGGAGGCGAGGGCGGCGGCCGGCCGACACGGGGTTGGAGGGAGCGGCGTGCGTGCCTGGCGACGCCTCGGCCAAGTGCGCAAGGAGAGTGGCAAGGGAGGTGACTGGGTGATGCTACAGAGGGTGCTTCGGAACGCAAAGAAGAGCGCATGGAAGGCTCTGAGGGGGGTAGGACGCTTGCGCCGCCCGCTCCGGAGGCCGCATTCAGCCCGGAGGGGACTGCGGGAGCGGCTCGTGGCGGCTCGGAGAGAGCCGGGTGTGTCTGCGTAGTGGCCTGCGCGCCGCAGCTGCAACGGGCGGCGGGGGCAAGGTGGGGATGAGGGTGGGGAGGGTGGCCGGAATGGTAGCGGCGGCGTGGGCGGTGGCGAGGGCGGTGGAGGTAACGGTAAAGTGGGTGCTTTGGAACGCAAAGAAGAGCGTGGAAGGCTCTGAGTAGACTCAGACGCTCGCGCCGCCCGCTCCGGAGGCCGCATTCAGCCCGGAGGGGACCGCGGGAGCGCCCAGTGGCGGCTCGGGGAGAGCCGGGTGTGGCTGCGCAGTGGCCTGCGCGCTGCCTTGGGCAGAAATCGCGCTCTCGCCCCCTCAGCTCCGCCCCCGAGCGAGTGAGGCTCGGAGGAGAGGCGAGGGGGGAGAGCGCCGAGAGAGCGACTGAGGAACGGGAGAGGCCCTGAGGGTTGTTGCGCGCGCGCAACAAATCGTCAGAACCAAGGCTGAATCTCAGCGGATCGTGGCAACAAGGCCACTCTGCCGCGTACAATACCCCGTTCCTTATTCAAGTCGTCTGCAAGGGATTCGTCGGCCCGGGTCCGTGAATTGTGGTCGCTCGCGGCTCAGGCAGTGCTACCGTTGCTCGTGGCGTCCCCGGGCCGGTAGGTGGCTTTCCTTCCGGCATGGATTCTAACTTAGAGGCGTTCAGTTATAATCCGGCGCATGGCAGCTTCGCCGCATCGCCGTTTCCGGCGGCGGCTATACCGATGATGCGAATTGGTGGTTCCTCTCGTACTGAACCAAATTACCGTAGAAAAACAGACAGCAGTAGGGTAAAACTAACCTGTCTCACGACGGTCTAAACCCAGCTCACGTTCCCTGTTGGTGGGTGAACAATCCTGCATTTGGCCCCCGCTGCGAGGCAGTGATAGGAAGAGCCGACATCGAAGGATCAAAAAGCTACGTCGCTATGAACGCTTGGCAGCCACAAGCCAGTTATCCCTGTGGTAACTTTTCTGACACCTCTAGCTTGAAATTCCCAAAGACGAGAGGATCGATAGGCCACGCTTTCGCGGTTTGTATTCGTACTGAAAATCAAAATCAACCGAGCTTTTCCCCTTTCGGTCCACATGAGATTTCTGTTCTCATTGAGCTCAAAATCGGGCGCCTGCGTTATTTTTTAACAGACGTGCCGCCCCAGCCAAACTCCCCACCTGTTAGTGTCCCCGACGCGGATCGCGCGCACGAAGCGGCTTGGATCCAGAAGTGAGGCGAGCCTCCCTCCGCGCCACCGAGTAAGTAAAACAACGTTGACGGTTGCGGTATTTCACTGTCGGGTTGCCCCTCCCGCATATTCTACACCCATCAAGTCGTTCCACAGTAACAGACTAGAGTCGAGCTCAACAGGGTCTTCTTTCCCCCGCTGATTCTTCCAACGCCCGTTCCCTTGGCTGGGGTTTCGCTAAGACAGTAGATAGGGACAGTGGGAATCTCACGAATCCATTCATGCGCGTCACTAATTGGATGACGAGGCATTTGGCTACCTTAAGAGAGTCATAGTACTCCCCGCCGTTTACCCGCGCTTGGTTGAATTTCTTCACTTTGACATTCAGAGCACTGGGCAGAAATCACATTGCGTCAGCACCCTCGCGGGCCATCGCAATGCTTTGTTTTAATTAAACAGTCGGATTCCCCTTGTCCGCGCCAGTTCTGAAGCGGCTGTTCGTCGCGCAGGGAGAGCCGGAGCGCTCCTAGGCCGTCCGCCGGACGGCCGCGCGGGATCCGCAGCCGTGAGGCCGTAGTCCCCGCGCAGCCAGCCGGCCTCGAGCCTAGGACCCCTGCGCCCAGCCTTCAGAGCCATTCCTTCTCCCGAGGTTGCGGAACCATTTTGCCGA